TTTTTCGTTTGTTATTAGAAATATGTCCAAGTTTCATTGTTTTATTCTCTTTAATTACTGATAATTAGTTTTCTGAATAAAAATAGTCAGTCATTAAAAATAATAAAAAAAAATTGCTAATAAGAGTAATACAAATATTTTTATTACCAATTAAAATTACAATTTAAGGGAACGGTCATTTTAATTATAATGATATATAAGATGAATATATTATTTTTTATTTTTAATGAATAAGACTAATTTTTTTCACTAAGTTAAAGTTTCGATAAAGATAATTGTCATCTTCATGTATTTTTCTTATAACTATCAATGCAATGATCCGGTCACATAGTTTAATACACGACACAAATTACAAAAACTTAAGGTAAATAAGGATTTATTATTATAAATTATTTATAACATTTTTTTATATTCGATTGATTACTTATGCAGATTGCTTCAATAAATGAGTAACGTAAAGGTTAAAATATTAATAAAATTTCAGTATACAGTTCTGGGGGAAAAAATTGAGATTACAGAGCTTAAAACAATTTAATAAATTTATTATGCACGATAATAAAGATAATACAGAGAAATTAAATAATATACGTTCTCACTTTTGAGAAATTTAAAAATAATAATTATCTCTTCTATTTGTCCTGGAAAAAGTTTGAAACCAAAATCAAATTTTTATGCTTTATAACTTTCATAAGACTTTTATATACTAATGGTACTGACTGCTTAATTTACACATCTCTTTAGTGTCATGTTTATTCTATTTCATAAAAAATTATATCTGGGGAAACATTAAGCGATGAAGAAAAAGACAAGATAAATGCATATCGAGAGTATGGTAAATCACATTTATGTTTTTGCAGCAGTTATTGGAAGGTCAAAGAGTTATCCAGAATTACTTAAAGGACACTGAAAATTATAGCAAAACATGGCGCTATGATAGACCGAAGAAGTTTTTTCTTCAAGACAAAACAGCAATTTTTAGAATAAGTCCGTTTACAGGTGCTTATTCATATGAAATTATAGCATAACTCTATTTTTCAAGTCAATTAGATAAGTTTTAGGATAATTTCTGAATCATAAATATGTGAAATTGAAGTCAAAGTTAGCAGCTAACCATACTGAAACAAACGTAGAATTCACAACTGAATATACCAAATGTACAAAAATGTGGAAACACGTTGTTTTTTAAAAAAATAATTAGGGATTTTTCATCACCTGTACATTTTATCTATTACTGGCACAATTTACGTGAAGAATTTACTTGAAGACTGTTTTGAACATCATTCGCACATCTGTCTTTGTTACTACATTCACATGCAAATTATTAGGATATTTTAGGAAACTCTTCTCCCCTTACATAATGAAGTGCTAGAAAAAATTTTATTTTTCAGTAAGGAAATGCTCGAATTTAACTACTTTCTCAATGTTGGAATGAATCACTGTTAACAAAATCAAAGTTTTACTACTTTGACCAGCATGTAAATTTTATAGAAAACTTTTGGGAGATTTAATCAAAATGATTTATGCTTGCAGAAAACGACATAATAATATTTCTGGTCTTAAAGCTGCCATTGTAATATCACGGGAGGAAATCAACTCTGAAAGGTTAAATAATTTTCTTAAATAAATAACTAAGCAATTGATTAATGTTATTCAAGTTAAAAGAATACAAGTAAAGTATTAAACAATACTTAAAATAGTTCCAGAAGAGAAGCATAACTCATCAATGAAATGTGCAAACTTTATGAAAAAATTTTTGTGTTCTTGTACATCTAATCTTTCAAGTGATGTGCAGTTTTTTCCGATTTATTTTCCTGTAGTTATGTAATAAATTTTTAAAATGCAGTATTCATGCGACAACTCTCCCTGAAATTTTGAGAGTAAGAACTTGTTACCCTGAACTCCAATAGATTTGTGATTTATTAACCTAGATAAATCGAACAATATGAAACAGTAACTGAATTAACACAAATGAAACTTAAAGCAATAATCACGAATAACCTGATCAAATTTAAATGATAAGTTAGGTTAACTAACATTTCTAGTTGACTTAGCCCACGTCATGTAATTTTATTTCAGAATTATGTAGTTTTTCTATTGCTGCTTTTAAATTTTTTTCACTCCACTTAGCCTGGTACCACCAGTCAAACGAGTGTAAACTGCTGGCATTTCAGTTGAAGGAACAAAATATAGTCTATACAGAAACGTATAAATAACGGCTTTATGTAACAGTGGACTAACACTTTAAAACAGAACTTTTTATGCACACGCACACTCAGTATTGCGAAGCAGTACATGTAAAACTAAATCGTAATTCTCTGTCAAACTGTTTGTTAATATTAATTGTTGCTAAAACAAAAATTAAATTGTACTGTAAAACAACGAAGCAATTGATGATTGACAATACACAAGAAATAATAACTGAAATTTCAACATAATACAAAAAAAAAACGATTAAATAAGACGTTACAGAAACTGTCTGCGGCACCAACAGTAAAATGCACCATCATAACAATGCCAGGCAGAAATGCTGCCACTCTTTAATTTATTTTTTCTATTTTACTTTTAATTTGATGAATTATAAACAATATTCATAATTCTTCTTAAATTTAAGCACATTTTTTCTAGCACTGTAAATGAACAATATTATATGCTGCCAATATATAATAACCCAATCACACACCAATGATGCAGTGGATCATATGCAACAGTGTTATTGTATCATATACTGTAACTATTGATTTGCGTTACTAATAGCTCACATCATATACACAAATATTTCGTAATACATTTTTAATTCCTTGATTTAATAAGAAATAGGTTAATTTTAACTTATAATAATTGTGTTATGTATAAAAGTGAGTTAAGAATGAAATAACAGATCTATTGTATACAACTGTTGCATATGAATAAATACATTTGTATCTTCTTCTTCTGCTGTTACTTATTTCTTAAAAACGAGAAAAATAAAAAAAATTATCTCATTTTTTCTCAGTGAAAAATTGTCATCGTTCTTGCATATCTTATAGTTTTTTTCTTTTTAGCTTTTTCACCATATAGTTATTAGAGGACACTTTTCACTCTTATCCATCGTAGATTCGGCCAGGTTTACAATAGGATAGATCAGATGACGAGAGACGAGGCACAGCATATCCTAGATTTACCATCAATTAAACATTCCTAGTGANTTATCATTTAATTGACCATTTAATTATTACACATTTTATATTTCTTTTAGACAAAATACAGTATATTTTACTTTCACCTGTAAATCATTATTTTTTCAAAAGGAGACTCTATTAATTACTAAAAGCAAACTCTCTTAATTAACTGATTATTTTTATCTTATTTACATTACGTTATAGAAAAAGTTAATTAAGATATAATAAATACTTGTTTTATTTAGAACTTGGAAAACAAAATAGTAAGGAGAATAAGATACAGGTTAAACAGTAGTTTATATATTGCTTATCTCTAGTCAAGCAACAAGGAATAATGTGTGGTGATTGCGCTCAACAATTAGTTAGATCCATCTGTGCCGCTGGACACACATTGGGCATCAAATGCACTTCAATGATTTCGATTAGCTATAATGATCTTACCTTCTTTCTATTTACACTCATTTGCAAAAAAGTCACACACCAAGAAGGAGTCGTTGGAATCGAATGAAAGCTTATTAGTGCGAATGTAATGACGACGACAACAAATGATTGAAATATCATAGCAAAGAGACAATTTCCTGTAAGGTAACGGAAACCTTAAAGGAACCTTCAATGTCTTGTAAGATCTCCTTTTGCCTTGATAAGTGCATCATGGATATGGCCGAACATAAAGGCATATAGGCACCGCATGCTATACTGTCATAGATTTTCCAATAGATATTGCAATTGCGGCTCCAGGTCCTCACATTCGTAGATCGTCGAAGTCATGGGTCTCGTCCCATAAATGTTTGATGTGCAACAAATCTGAAGACCGCACCGGTCAATTGAAGACATTTCCGGATAACTCTAGTTGTGTACGGTCGAGTATTATTTCGCAGAAAAATGGTTATTTGCAGCTTTGCCATAAAGAGTCAGGACTTTCAGAACATATGGCTATGCCATCGATGTTTCTTGTGCCACTACTAAAAAAGAACCGCAGATTAGGTGAGTGCAATTGTCCTGCTAACTTATTCCATCTTGCTGCTAATTACTTTGAGGATAGAGAAGCAATTATCTCTGGGCATTTTCAATTTACACGTAAGCTGCAACGCGGCTGTCCACAGGGATTTGTTTGTAGGCCCTGTTCAGGGATATTTTATTCTATAACTTCTTCCAGCCGTACCGACTTCGGCTACCAATGTCGTGTCTATGCGTATGCAGACGATGCCTTTGTGGTTTTCCCTGCCCCATCAAGAAATTACATAGAAAGGGCAGCCACTGACATTCTTAAAAAAGTGTATAACTGGGGTGTAAGAAATAAACTCAGTTTTAACATGACAAAGACTAAGGGAATCGTTTTCTCCTCTCCGGGCGCCCCTGACTTTTACAGACGTGTACCTTGTATCAGGTTTCGTAATGAGTCAATAAAAGTTGTAAGTCACCTCACTTTCCTTGGGGTTGTGATTGATCATAAACTCTCCTGGAAACAGCATATAAAACACATTACTAGTCGAAGTAACTTGACCTTTAATGGACTTTTAAGGGTTGCCAGATGCAAGTGGGGCCTCGGTTTTGAGGCAGTCAATGCCATATATGATTGCTTGTTTTTACCAACTATCTCATATGCATCTGCTGGTTTGGAGCGCTGCTGCCTCTCAATTTCATAACCATCGATGACTGAGGTCTGCACAACGGATTGCCTTATTACGACTTACCAGGTGCTATTCCACTGTTTCAAATGCAGCCCTCCCTGTGGTGGCTGGGAAGCTTCCCATCATCCAATTTCTCCAATTTAATAGCAAACGTTTCTGTATCTCTAGGGGCAGGGATGTTGATATTAACGGAACCATCTTTAATGCCACCATGTTTGAATTAGACAGGCCTGTATCTACACTCCCACATCCCGCCTTAAGGAAGGGACTCGCTCCTCGTGTTACCTCTACAGAGATTGAAGCTTTTACAGATGGATCCAAGTCAAAAGACGGCATGGCAAGTGCCTTTGTAATCTTTCAGACCGGTGAGGAGGTTTACAATGATTCTTTTGCTCTACACCCGGAATGCTTTGATTTCCAAGTTGATATCTTCGCTTTATTGATGGAAACCAACTGGTGCAATTCTATTGTTGTGAACAAACTGATAAACATCTTCACAGACAGTGCTGCGACTGTTACTGCTTTGGGGGATAAGGATAATACTCGCCCTGTTGCGAACAACATCTTTGCTGCAGCTTCTACGTCTTTTAACAAGTATGCCATCAATTGGATCAAAGGACACAGCGGCATTCCAGGTAAAAGGACACATGCATTCCACAGCGGCATTCCAGGTTACTTTCTGGCGCGAAACGTAACGCCTAATCCTGATACTCCTCCTACCTACAATCTCATTCCTAAGTCAAGACTTAAATACCTTATCTGGGACAATGCTTTGGAAACTTGGCAAATGGATTGGGACGAGATCCCACAACAACACATAACAAGACGTTTTATCCCAAAGGTAAAGGAACGCGTTCACAGCAAATGAATTCAGCCCACACATGATTTAGCCCAATTTTTGACAGAACACGGGCGCTTTCGTGTTTACTTGAAAAGGTTTCATCACTCTAATTCTGACTGCTGTCAGCTGTGTGGGGTACGGGACGGTGTCATGCACTATTTATACAACTGTCTTATGCTGGATGACATCAGGTATCAGTGCATGCAGCATGCCAATATGAACAATATAGACTGGCTGGTAAAGCCTGATTTTTTCTTACAAAACAACAGCAACTTTAACTTGTTAAAGGAATTTGTTTCACTCTACTCTATTAGATGTGGGATCCGTTGATCTGATCAGGTCAACGGATCCCACGAGTGATCTGTTTCACTCTAGCCTTGATGACAATGTATATACACACCTTGCTCTGCTATAACAGCACGTAGACTTTGATGTACAGCAATGTTACTTTAGTTATAGTGTACTTTTATTTTTATTCTTTTATTTTTTAATCTTTTATAATATTTAATTTTAATTTTTATTTCTATTTATTTTATTTATTTATTTTATTTCATTTTACTTTCCCTTTCTCTGCCATTATATTATTGTATCCCTTCTATGACTAACAGCATGTATCTACTATGTATTTTTCTGCATTTCTGTCTGGCTGTGTTCAGCGGTGCCAGACAATAAAGATTATTTTGACTGACTGACTGACTGACTAAAAAGAACCGCCTGTCATACGAGATGACTTCACAGAACCAGCGTATCAGCAATGGGAATATTACGCTGTAGCGTAGTGATCGACTGATAAGCTCTTCAATCACGCACATGACGGTCGTCCGTTCCCAACAGAATAGGAATTCGTTGCTAAGAACGATACACTGCCAGGCCGTAGCAGTCCACGCTTCTCTGTTACGACACAACTGCAAACAAAGCCCGCGATACTGAAGTGCTAAAAACAGGGTGATAGTTATGCCGTGAAAGAAAATCTGCCTCTATTAGTCGCCTGCCAATGTTTTTTTTTTCTCGATCAGACAATCATGTCTTATGGTGATCTATCTGCAGCACCCAGAAACTGCTTGCTGGGCTCTGACTTATTCTCTGATCCGAACACTTGCTCACAGTCTGCTCAGTACGGCCCAAATGGCAGACAATTCGACGAAACTGTCATCCTACTTTCTTCAGCCCGATGATGTGACCTTTCTTAAAGTCTGTCAACTGTATAAAATATCTAACTACGTCATATTGGCATGTCTGGCTTTCAAGACAACAGCTACGTTGAAAATTTTGAACACTAGACCTCTACGAGTCTTCAGGATACTGAATTGCTAGCTAATTTAAGGCACTCTGATAGCATTACCTGTCATGCAATCCTACCACGACTCTAATCCTTAATGGCAAACTGTAACTTCATTTACATACGTTAGTTGATCTGTATGCCGGTTTTGCAGTAATTAGACGATTATATTTGGGTGTGCAACTTTTTTTTTTTTTTGGTCAATGAGTGTAGTGCCATGTTTCACAGATTTCATTTGGCGTTTTACATTAATATTATTTGATTATAGTCAGGGAAAATTTAAAATTAACATCTCATACTGACTTAGCAAATGGTTTATGAGACAAAAAACCTTAAATATTTTACAATGCATCATATGTATATGTTTCAGATGTCGATGAACCCAGATTTTCAATTTGAATTGAGCGAGGTCTGGAAATTGTGATACAAATAAATTTACATTAGATTTAATATCAAATAATTTTACAATCGATAGAGAAATAAAAGAGACCATAAACAACGTATATATTCAATAAAACAATGATATTGAAAAAGTAAAGTCAAATTCAGTTATAACTATTTTTATTTATTAAACACTAATAAATCAAAGAATAAAAGATAGTGTAAATTATATTTTCGTCTGAGATAGGAATAGATAAATTTATTATATATATACAGTAACATTCATAGATATTTTAATAGTGTATCAACAGAAAATGTGCTAAAAACATTTTTAAACGTTAACAAAATTGAAGTACTAGAGTCAATAATGTCAAATAATGATATGTTTCCACAAATAGATGTAAATATAACATTATTCACCTGAACAATCAATAAAATATTGTAAACAGATGCACTGTAGAATTTATGTGAAAAGTATTAAAAGTTCAAAACAAAAGGTAGAAACAGAATCGCAATGCCTTTTCACATAGCAATAGGAATCATGCCTGTAATGCAAACGTGTTAGCCAACCGTTTGGAAATGTTTGCTAAATTGAAAAATATTAACAAACATTCTTCACTTCTGTATCTACAACATTTCCGTGATGTACGGTTTAGAATCACGAAAGACATTTTCTTTAACATTCTTAGCATGTTTTGAATTGAAAGACGTGATCGTGGAATTTTACTTCACTTAAGGTGGAAAGTCAATGTCTAATTAATTAAATGAAATACGTAATAAATTTAAGTGTGGAAAATGTGTCTAATGCACAGTTGTTGTTATTAATTACTATTATACAGGATTTATTAAAATCCCATATAATTCACGAGTTGCTTCTTTATTTATCGCATTTCAAAATCATCAAAGTTTTTTCTTCGAGAACATTAAAATGTATAGATTTTAAGTTTGTAATTTCTAACATTAAGTGTATTAATTTGTTGCATCTTACAAAGTTTGTTTCATTTTTAGATTTTGCAAATGAATATGAATATAACAACTTTTTGTTTATGATCATAAAATTTGATTGTCAGAAAAGTTATTATATTGAGACAGCGTACTGACAGGTAACATTACATATTTGTTAAAAACACATTAAGTTTCCAGAATAACAATTAATTACTCATAAAGCACTACTACTGAGAAAAGCGAATACAAAAGGAGGCTACAGAAATCCTTTCCATTCACATACCGAAAAAATTTTTAATTTAGTTATTCAGACTTCAAAATATTGTTTTAAAAAAGCATTTATGATGACAAATGTGGTCTATCGGACAATCTACAGTACAAGTAACGAGTTGCATAACTTTCCCGGCAAAAGAATTTAAAATTTGGTGCCATCTGATATTTTATTTAAAGCTTTTTATATTATTAATTATTATAACAAGACTTACTTTTGAGGGTAGTGATGAGTTTATATTTTAAAAAAGTTGTAAATACTGTTCTAGTAACGAGTAAAATCGTCATTAAATCCGACTGTATTCGAGATATGACTCCTGAACCTAGCTATCTCCCCATCCCTTGACCTTTAACCACCAAAACTAATGGCATAAATCCCCTAATACACAAACTCCCTTGCAAAATTTCAGAAATTTCTGACAAAAGGCACAAGAGTTATTATACGTTGTAGCTGGTGAACAAAATTGTGTTCCCACACACACACACTAACATCCATACATACAGGAAAAACCCGCAATTTTTTTTACATTTCTCGTCGTTTTAAGGTCCCCGAGTCTAAAAATGTAAAAATCTTGGAGGACCATTTTTTGATCGATTGCCATATTTTTTTTCTTTTATATGTAATAGCCGGAAAAGTAAAAAATACTTATTACTTATTCAAATATTAATTTTTGAGTTAGTCCCTCCCTTTGATTACTTATTGATCCGTTACTAAAATATTGATATATTTAACATATAAATTTTTTGTTAAATAAAATGTTAAAAAACAAAAAGATTAAATGTTCGTTTGGAAAAGTTCGGATCATTGTTTCATTACAAATGAAATAAAGTAGAAAACTTTCTTTCATTTTAGGTTGACAGAAGTCTAATTGTTTGCAGTGAGTTTAACAGAAAGTTTTTTAATCAGTGTCACATTATACTGCTTATATTTCTTTCATTTCTATTTGATGCAAATATCTTGATGGTTGAACTCAAGTATCTTGATGGATGTTCAATTTCTTTGATTGTATTACATTCTGTACCAAATTCTTTGGCTAAAGTACATTTTCCTCTGAAAATTCGTTTTATTACAATTTCTCAAATAATATAATTTAATTTTCATTTCCATAACAAAAAATCATTAATCTTATTTAAATATTTGGATTGCTTAGATATTTGAATATTTAACGTTAAAAATTGTTATTTAATTTCCTTTAAAAAGCTTATTGTTTAATTTTGATCTAATAATTTAGTAAAAGGAAACTGAAGATTTAAAAAATCTCAAATTTATCAAGAAAAATTTTTGCTTATTCTGAGAATTTTTGACAAGAAACCTTACTCCTGAGTCAATTGCTTTCAATAAGGTGACTGAATTACGTTATCTAATTTTTGGGCTCTCTTGTATACCAGTTTTTTTTTAATATAATTCCGTTATAAACTAAGCTAATAATTTAAAATATAACCAGATATTTATTTTGTTATATTTTTATTTAATTTTCGGTTTATGAGGTAAGTGTAACTATAACAATATTAATATTTGAAGCATTGATAAGGTTTTGATTATTTCAAATTATAAAAAAAATTATGACTTTTATTAGAAATATTGAAAATAAAGCATTTCTTAATTAGTAATTTCGCTTACAAAGACTAAAGTAGTACTTTATCGATGAATAAAGGATTTGTTTGAAAAAATCAAATTGTTTTTCGTTTGTTATTAGAAATATGTCCAAGTTTCATTGTTTTATTCTCTTTAATTACTGATAATTAGTTTTCTGAATAAAAATAGTCAGTCATTAAAAATAATAAAAAAAAATTGCTAATAAGAGTAATACAAATATTTTTATTACCAATTAAAATTACAATTTAAGGGAACGGTCATTTTAATTATAATGATATATAAGATGAATATATTATTTTTTATTTTTAATGAATAAGACTAATTTTTTTCACTAAGTTAAAGTTTCGATAAAGATAATTGTCATCTTCATGTATTTTTCTTATAACTATCAATGCAATGATCCGGTCACATAGTTTAATACACGACACAAATTACAAAAACTTAAGGTAAATAAGGATTTATTATTATAAATTATTTATAACATTTTTTTATATTCGATTGATTACTTATGCAGATTGCTTCAATAAATGAGTAACGTAAAGGTTAAAATATTAA